GGGGGAAGAATCCCCAGGGCAAGGGGAGGAGCTAAACAGAAGAGGCAGCCAAAATCAAACGAGGGTCCTAGGCCTAAGAGGAAGGGTGAAGGAGGAACTTGGGGTGCAGCTGCCAAAGAGAGAGCAGTTTTGTAGTCGAATCCAGTGGTGGTGGGGGAGCGTAAGATGTGCGGGACAGAGTAGGAAAGCCTCCCCCCCCCCCCGGAGAGTAAGGGTAACTTACGGGGGTAGAGTTGCTTACCTCCGGGGGACCCCTGCGGAGGAGGTGCGGGCGGTCGGGGTCGGGGCTGCCGGCACCGCCGCCTCAGCAGCAGCGGCCGCTCCCGAGCTCCATTGGCCGCCTCCGCTTCCCTGACAGCGGCCGCGGAGGCTGCACCAGGCCCTGACTGCGGGGCTGCCCTCGGCGCTGCCTGAAGGGGCCTTCACGCTGGCTCAAGTTTGACTGGGCCTCACAACCTTCTTTTCCTCAATACAAAAAAAATCCCCAGACAAGTATCAGAGTGAGAGCTCTCTCCCGAGTCCAAGCGCCTTCTTCCTGAGGTCAGCTTCCCTCCGCCCCCGGCATGCAGGACCTTACCGATCCCATAGTAACCTAAACAGTTCAGAGAGCTGCCCGGAGCGTGCCTGTTCAGAAATTTAAAAGGGGGCGTGGACAAGATAGTTGGACGCTAAAGGGGGAGGTGAAGGGAGGAGTCTACGGGTGGAAGGAGGAGTCTACGGGTGGAAGGAGGAGCCAATCATTAAGAGGCGGAGTTAAGAGACTGTTTCCGACACTAAGGAAGCCGAGAGGAGAGTAAATTTGTAGCATACAGAGCAGGCACACCCGTACCAGAGTAGAGCGCAGGGGCAAGGAAGGCACATCTGTGTATTCCGTTAGGGAAGTATTTCCATAAGTACGTGAACGTGCAAGTCATATGTAAATGAGCATGTTTTAGTTAGCCACTGAGTTACCGTAATTGCAAGTAGTACCATTCCCTCCTCCCCTTCCCTACACGGACTCCTTCAGCAAATCAAGCCGTGGGATGGACAGAGGAGGGAAGATAGTGACAATTATCAATATACTTTGCTACTCATCTTTAAGGATTATGCCAAGTTTTACGCCCCTTATCGCGTCGGAAGTGGCGCGGTTCAATCACGTCAGTCTTTCGCGGTTAACCTCGTGGCGGCGGTTCTGCCTCCGAGGTTACCTCCGACCTAGGCAGCCTTTGGCCTCCAACCTGGAACGCCAGCCATTCAGGGAGGGGCGGACCAGGACCAGGTTAGGAGAGGTAAGTGAAATGACTAAGACTTGGACGGCACAACCCTTCCTCCAAAACAAACCATACACTAAATCAAACCCATTGCTGTAGAGTCAATTCTGATTTGTAGTGACTCTATAGAGTACTGCCCCATAGAGTTTGCAAGAAGTACAAACAAATCTGTATTGGAAGAAGTACAGCCAGAATGCTTCTTAGAAGCCAAGATGGTCACACTCAGTCTCTTATACTTCAGACATATCAGGAGGGACCCACCACTCATCTGTCAGTTTGCTGTACTGCGTGTTGCTGTGATTCTGGAAGCTGTGCCACCGGTATTTTAAATACCAGCCAGGTTACCCATAGTGGACAGGTTTCAGCTGGGCTGACCTCGCCAAATGGAGTACACAGAAATCAAATTGACTACATCTGTGAAAAGAGACCTTGGAAAAGCTCCATATCATCAGTCAAAACAAGGCAAGGGGCAGATTGTGAAATAAACTATCAATTGCTCATATGCAAGTTCAGGTTGAAGCTGAAGAAAATTAAAACAAGTCTACAAAGACCAAAATATGATCTTGAACATATACCTCAGCTGAATTTAGAGACCATCTCAAAAACAGATATGATGCATTTGACACTAATGAATGAAGACCAGAAAAGCTGTGGGATGACATCAGGAACATCATACAGGAAGAAAGAAAAAGATCATTTAGAAGACAAGAATGAATGAAAAGACCAAAGTGGCTATCAGGAGAGACTCTTAACTTGCTCTCTAGCGTAGCCATGCAAAAGCAAATGGAAGAACTAAAGAGGCTAAAAAGAAAATTTCAAAGGGCAGCTCAAGATGACAAAGTTAAGTATTATCATGGGATTTACAAAGACCTGGAGTTAGAGAACCAAAAGGGAAAAACATACTCAGCATTTCTCAAGCTGAAAGAACTGAAGAAAAAAAATCAAGCCTTGAGCTGCAATATTAAAGGATTCAAAGAGGAAGGATAAGTAGTTGGAAAATATGGCCTTGGTGAAAGAAATGATGCTGGAGTACACATGATAGAATTCTGCAAAATCAATGATTTGTTCATTTCAAATACCTTCTTTAGATAGTATAAGAGACAAGTATACACATGGACCTTACCAAATGGAATACATAGAAATCAAATTGACTACATCTGCAGAAAGAGACAATGGAAAAGCTCCATATCATCAGTGAAAACAAGACCGGGGCAGACTATGAAACAGATCATCAATTATTCATATGCAAATTCAAACTGAAGTTGAAGAAAATGAAAACAGGTCCACAAGAGCCAAAATATGACCTTGAATATATTCCACCTGAATTTAGAGATCATCAGAAGAATAGATTTGATACATTATACACTAAAGACTGAAGACCAGAAGAGTAGTGGGATGACATCAAGAACATCATACATGAAGAGAGCAAAAAGTCATTAAGAAAACAAGAAAGAAGGTAATGGATGTCAGAAGAGACACTGAAACTTGCTCTCCAGCGTAGAGATGCTAAAGCAAATGGAAGAAATGAAGGAGGTCCAAGAGCTGAACAGAAATCTTCAAAGATCAGCTCGAGAAAATAAAGCCAGATATTATAATAAAATGTTCAAAGATCTGGAATCAGAAAACCAAAAAGGAAGAACACGCTCAACATTTCTCAAGCTGGGGGAACTGAAGAAAAAAATTCAAGCCTCGACTTTTGTTACTGAAAAATTTTCTGGGAAAATTATTGAATGATGCAGAAAGCATCAAGAGAAGATGGAAGGAATACAGACTCACTGTACCAAAAGGAAATGATTGATGTTCAACCATTTCAAGAATTAGCATATGACCAAGAGCCAATGATACTGAAGGAGGAAGTCCAAGGTGCATTGAAGGAATTGGCAAAGAACAAGGTACCAGGAATTGATGGAATAAAATTTGAAATCTTTCAAGAAGGTAAGGTGGCACAGGAGGCACTCACTCATCTCTGCCAAGAAATTTGCAAGACAACTTTCTGGCCGACTGATTGGAAAGGATCTGTATTTGTACCCATTCCAAAGAGAGATGACTCAACAGAATGTGGAAATCTTTGGACAATCTCTTTGATATCCCATGCAAGTAAACTTTTGCTAAATGTAATACAGAAATGGCTACAATCATACATGGACAGAGAACTTCCAGAGGTTCAAGCCGAATTCAGAAGAGGCCATGGAACAAGGGATATCATTGCTGATGTCTGATGGATCTTGGCTGAAAGCAGAGAATATCAGAAAGATGTTTACCTGTGCTTTATTGACTATGCAAAGGCTTTCAGTTGTGTGGATCATGACAACCTATGCACAACATTACGAAATATGAGTATTCTTGAACACTTAATTGTGCTCATGAGGAATCTGTTCCTAGACCAAGAGGCAATTGTTCAAACAGAACATGGGAACACTGAATGGTTTAAAATTAAGAAAGGTGTGTGACAAGGTTGTATTCTTTCATCATACTTATTCAACCTGTATGCTGAGCAAATAATCTGAGAAGCTGGATTCTATGAAGAAAAACATGGCATCAGGATTGGAGGAAGACTCATTAACAACCTGCAATATGTAGATGATATAACCTTGCTTGCTGAAAGTGAAGAGGACTTAAAACATTTACTGATGAAGATCAAAGAACACAACCTTCTGTATGGATTACATCTCAATGTTAAGAAAAAAATCCTCACCACTGGACCAATAAACAGCATCCTTATCAACGGAGAAAAGATTGAAGTCAAGGACTTCATTCTTCTTGGATGAACTCTCAACACTCGTGGAAGCAGCAGTCTAGAAGTCAAATGATGTATTGCATCAGGCATATCTGCTGCACAAGACCTTTCTAAAGTGTTGAAGAGCAAAGATGTCAGCTTGAAGACTAAGGTGCGCCTGACCCAAGCCATGGTATTTTCAATCACCTTGTATGCATGCGAAAGCTGGTAGTGAATAAGGAAGATTGTAGAAGAATTGATGGTTTTGAGTTATGGTGTTCTAGGAAAATATTGAAAGTGCCATGGGCTGCCAAAAGAACCAATAGATCTGTTTTGGAAGAAGTGCTTCCAGAGTGCTCCTTGGAGGCCAAGATGGCCAAACTTTCATACTTTGGTCATATTTCAATCCAACCTCAACGAGATGGATTGGTCAGGTGGCAGCATCGATGGACTCAAGTGTGGTAACAGTAGTGAGGTTGGCCCAGGATCGGGCAGTGTTTCGTTCTGCTGTACCTAAGGTCACTATGAGTTGGTACTGACTCGATGGTACCTAACAACAACAATATGAGCTACAACAACAACAACAACAAATGAGCTACATGCACATCAATGTTCATAGCAGCACTATTCACAATAGCAAAAAGATGGAGACAAAGTGCCCATCAACAGCAGAAAGAATAAACAAAATTTGGTACATAGACACAATGGAATATTATGCTACCTTGAAGAATAACAAGGAAGCTGAAAACTACCACATAACATGGATGAACCTTGAGGAATTATGCTGAGTGAAATTAGTCAAAGGCCAAATATTGCATAAGACCATTATTGTGAAAGCTTAAGAAAAGATACCCATACTAAAACAAAACAAAACAAAACAAAATCTTTGTTGGTTACAGGGGGAAGGGGAGGTAGAGCATAGGGTAGGGAATAGACACATAGTTCTGGTGTTGGGGAGGGCAGTACACAAGAAGGGGGAGGGGGATGGAAAAACAAGGCAGATAGGGAACGCTGAGGCAGGTTTGCATGGGCTAAATGGGACAGAGGTAAATAGTGACGTATGCTCAACCTTGGAACAACAGGGGTTTTTGATACAGGGATCGAGGCATAGTCTGAATGGGTAAGAAGGGAAATAATGTTAAGATACTTGACTGTCTTACAAATATTGGTTTCACTTGCCTACTACTGTAAAATAGACACTTAAGTGGGATAGAAAAGAATATCAGGAAACATGATTGTGGAAAGCTTTTAAGCCCATCTTCAACCTATAATTGATTGGAATACCTAAAAGGGGGGCTAGAACTTTCCCAGTGAAATAGGCTTCCTGCAGAGCCTTTGTGTCTGGAGAACCTTAGATGGAATCCTGAGCCCTATCCAGAACCATCTGAGGTGGGACATTCCCACTTGAAAGGACAAGTAGACCAGCCTGGAACAGCTAGAGAAACAGAAGATACTTCTTGAAAGAAAGACCAGCAGGAAAAATCCAAAACAAAAATTACAAT